CGCGTGCCCCCCCCCCTTGGAGCTCTGCCCTCTTCCCCCCCCCCAATCATCAGTTTGCTGTCCGTTCGTCCCCCCGTCAGGGCAGTGCTCGCTTGTATTCAATCTGACCCATGTATGTATGTGAACGCAGTCATATAATCACCATGTCAAGCTTCATCCTGGGCTGGGATCCTAATCCTTCAATTGTAATTGGTAGCCCAGGAAGAGCCGACCAATCACCAACGTTTAGTTCCAGAAGTGGGAACTATTGTGATTGGACCTTATCCCTGCAACCTCATAGGTTGGCATTTGAATAGTGGGCGTGGCTACATTAGGCGGGAGAGTTTAAAAGTGGAACAGCTTTTGTGATTGGAACTATTGTGATTGGACCTTATCCCTGCAACCTCATAGGTTGGCATTTGTATAGTGGGCGTGGCTACATTAGGCGGGAGGGTTTAAAAGTGGAACAGCTTTTGTGATTGGAACTATTGTGATTGGACCTTATCCCTGCAACCTCATAGGTTGGCATTTGTATAGTGGGCGTGGCTGCATTAGGCGGGAGAGTTTAAAAGTGGGACGTCTTCAACGCTAAAGCTGTTCTGGCTATTCATGTTGATCTGTTTGGAGTTGAGTTACGAGTTGCTGAACAAAGCTGATCTTTTGCTGAAATCACTCTCGGACTCTTTGTTAAGTAACCGACTTAACAGTACAGCTCCTACACAGAGGGTACAGCATGGTAGGCAGTCGTTCCTCTTTCCCGCCACACCGCTGTTTAGCCTCCCCTCACCGTCACTGTGCCTGCATTGCCTGTGCTTGTGAGGTGGAGAGCGGTGGCGGGCACTGCCCACCAAGGGGCAGAATTCGAGGGCTCCTCTCCCAGCCAGGTACCTGTGATGGCTGTGGCTCTCCCTGGCTGGTGCGCTGCCCTCCCAACCTTCCTCACGTCACTCGCCAGCCGTTGCCTGCCTGAAGTACCTCCCCCCTCCCGCCACTCCAACGGAGAAGTGTTGTCTGCACTCCTCTGTTTTAAGGGGATTTAGACTCCCCAATGTATTTTTTTTTTAAGTTTTCAGATTTTTCTGCAAACCTAGGGGGTTACACAAGTTTGCAGAAATAAGTCTCCGCACAGAGGGGACTGTTGGGAATCAGATATATAGAGGGCGAGACAGCCAAGCAACATGTAGGGGAAACGCAGAGGAGGAATTGGGGGGCCAATTTTGTTGAGACGTCCCTCTGAAGATTCATGAGAGAACAAAGGAGTTGCAAAGCCTCAACTTTTAAGTCCAGGAGGAAGTATGGAACTTGGACCAACCAGTGGCCAATCACTCGGCTAAAACAGAGGGGGAAAAGTTTCCCTCCTTCAATCCCAAACATGCTCTATAAGCCTCAACCCGACCCCAGCTCCAGCTGAGAGGCCCCCTTCTCCCAATGACCAAGGCCCAGAAGAAGAAAAGATGTGTAATTATTATTCAGTATTTAAAGTCTCTACATTAGAGTGTTTAAAGTCTCTACATTTTTCTTAACCACTTAATACTTTGCCCTTCTCCCCATTTGGATTCCACACCAACTTACACCCACCTCCTCTCACTTTCTCCCCAGTGGGAACCCAAAGCAACTTACTTCAGCCTCCTCTCCTCCATTTTATGCTCACAGCAGCCCTGCGAGGTAGGTTAGGCTGAGTGCGTGTGACTGGCCCAAGGTCACCCAGTGAGCTTCCGTGGCAGAACAGGGATTCAAACTTGGGTCTCCCAGATCCTAGTGTGACACTGACTTTTTCAGAGATCTGCCTGAGGCAGCTCACAGCGTCAAAGATAAAATCACGTAAAACAATTAACCACCATTAAAACCTGCCTTATCTATTACACCCCAGAAGCATCACCAATTTGGCTGCCTAAATCATCCTCCTAAAAGTCCTCTGAATAAAGCCATTAAAAAGATCAAACTTCTAGGTAAAAAGCTGAGTAAAAAGAAATATGTTGTATTGGTGCCTAAAAGAAAGTAGGGTAGAAATGGAGATCCTCAGCTGGACCGAATGGCAGGGACAGGAAATTATGTTTTATTTTGCTTTTCGTACAAGCTCTTAGTTCAAGCAGCATCATTTCCTGTTTACCACTCCCAACAACTAACACAGACTGATTTGAGCGAGCAATTCCTTTACAGGTTTGGCGGAACAACATTCAAGAGTCTAACCTGGGTTTACAGATAAGTGGTGAGTCCCATGGCAATTTCACTCTGTTTAACGAACAGTCCTGAAAAACCAAAAAGACACCCCCCCTCTATAGCACTAAAGGCCCCAGATGGACACAGGCAGGGCAGGACCAAGCCACACAGAGGTGGTTCTGCACACAAAGGGGACCAGTGATGCTCAACAGGTGGCAACAACACAAAATTGGTGCGCACAGCAACATACCATGAGCCTTGCCAGGCCTGGACCGTTGTTCTGAAAGGAGGACAAACAGACCGTCACTTCCAAATGTCCCCTGCAGTGGGATGCTCGCATATGGCTTGTGATCCTGGCTAGAGAAGAACTCCAAGGAGTATCCTTTCAAGCTGGCACCGGGCGTCCCTTTTATCTCAACGAACTGGTAAGGGACAGAACAGTTAGCCAAGCCCACTTCATTGATCAAAACAGAGTGGTTGTGAGCCACGTACTCTGTGGAATTGGAGCCAGGAGGTGGGCATGCGTTTTCATGAGAGGGAGTGATTGCGGTCACCTGAAACACAGAGACACATACATATCTTTACTATTCGTTACATTTTAATCCCATCCTCCCGCCATGAAGCTCAGCATATGGTCTTCTTCTCCCGGTGGCCAAAAGCATCCAGTAAACTCAGGAACAAGCATGGCCCCAGTCACACGAGCGGGGAAATCCGCACTGGAAGGGAGGCATTTTAGAGGCGGAGCTAAAAAAAGCACGGGAGCGTGATCTTACCCTCCCCCGCGGCTCCGTTCTCCCTCCGTCGGCACCCGATCACACGGGGGAGGCAACGGTGTAGTCCCAGCAAGGCAACATGGCGGTCCCGCATTAGTGCGCATGCGTGGGTCGCAGACAGCTGCAGGCTGCTACGGGCTGCCGGCGCATCCGCGATCCCACGCCTGCCGTTGCTGTGGATCTTCCGGCAGGTACTCCATTTTCCCTAGTACCTTTTCGATCCACATTTTCGGCCGGATGCGACGGGGTAGGGGCAGATGCGCGACGCTTGCCAGATGTTGGCATCTGATCGCGCCAGGTTGATCCACCCTTAACCCGTCCCCTCCGCGTACCTAATTCTCCGTGTGACCGGGGCCCATGAATTTCAACCTGGACTTCCCGCTCCAAGTCTGGCAATCTGTTATGCAATACCACCTTGCCTGGCTCGCATTAAAAAGCAGATGCGTGCCCACTAAGCATTTCCAGTTTTACTCCGTTAAAACGGGACTGGGCTCGCACAAGACTAACTGGCTACAAAGTGAGTTTTGCTGTGCCGATTTTTAAAACATGTTGCTTTGGGAGCCGTTGTCACCACAGCACCATACCGTGTGACTGAAGGTAAGCTGTGGCAGCGCTTTGGGGCCGCGGCCACCATGCTGTGTCAGAATTCCAAAGGTACCCACAGGCTCAAAAAAGCTGAGGACCCCTGAAATGGGGTTTGCTGCAAGCACATGCCACACAGAAGGCTGAGGGCCTCAGAGCCAAAGCCAGTTTTGTGCTCATTACCTGGAAGCTGTCGTGGTTTCTAGGCCTTAGACTGCGACACCGGCTCAGAGACTCATCTTGGTCGCTGTGGGAGTCGTCTTCGTGCAGGACGTTTTGACCCGGAGCAAGAACCGCAAGCAACTTGTCGGCCTTTTCTGAGCCCCGGGACTTGTACACCACGGCGTCCACCAGCCCCTCGTCAGTCAAGGCCATGTTGGTTTGATAACTCGCTGTGGTGGTGTGGTAGAGAGCCACAGCATCCACTCCATTCTGGATAGTATTGGGGGGCAGAATAATCGAGGGTTTGGGGGTCACCCCGTCGCTGCCCACCAGGAAGTAGCCTCGATCGTCGGTGCGGTGACCCGTCAGGTTCACCACCTTGTAAGCCAAGTTGTTCTTGCCATTATAAAGGACAAGCCAGTAGTCACGGAGGTCAAAGGGCACTAATCCGGGATAAAAGAGCTCTACGTATTCAGTATCTTCTCGGGCTCCAGGGTTGTCTGGATTCACCTCATTGATAAGGAGCTTGGCCTGTGCGATCGGAGACCCCTCTGTTGATCCTGGCTTCTCCGGCATTGCTGCTTTAAAGACCAAAACACCAAGCTTATTACTGTCACAGTCACTGGTTGGGATTTAGACATTCTCAGATGCCTCAGATACCCCTTGGACAGCACCTATCCAACCTGTGCTGCGTGAAGGATTGATAAAGTACTTCATATTACATGTTAACTTACAAACAATTACAATTTCCACAGGCAGAATGTCCCGACTCCTACTCCCTGGCATCGACCAGGTAGTTTGTGTGAAGTCGCCCAAATGCCGGCCCCAATCCCTCTCTTTGTGGCGGAGAACATACACTGGTTCTCACGGTCTCCCTATTGCTGTTTACGGCAAGCGTGCAGAGCAGCGAGCAAGCTATGAAGCATGCGCCTTAGTGCCAGGGTCTGAGAAGGAAGTATGCAAAACATGGCAGCTAGCTGACAGGAGGATTAGTATCAGGTAGAACTGCTTGTTGACTAACACACTTATAGGTGTTACTGTGATCTAGATGTTCCCTCAGAATCTTAATTCTCCTAAAAGCAATCATAGTTTTTCCCCCTCATAGAAAGGAACATTTTTAAGCAAATACCAATTTTTACAGATACTCTTTTTTTAGACCCACACTTATATTATTATAAGAAATATATACTAAAGGATTTCACATGTAATTCTATTTAGGTTATATAGATCATCCAACGCCCATGTAATAAACTTTATGTTGAAAAAACAACTAGACACTTAAGAACACACGTAACAGAACATAAAAGTAATATTAAACTGAAAAGAACAAATGTCCTATTGGCTAAACTTGTTTTTTTTTAATAGTCATGGTCCCTCTGATTTTATTTTTGGGGTTGTACAGAAATTAAGTTGTAAAAATGAAAGGCTGCTACTGAAAAAAGCAGATTGGATTGTTAGACTCCAGACACTGACAGCTAAAGGGTTAAATTTGTTTTAGAATTGCATCAGCTTCTGTAAAAAAAAATAGAGACTACATCAATGTGTAGTAGAATCCTTCCAGTGGCAATTTGTTACTTAACTTATATTCCTTTTGAAGAATTACTGCAAGACAAACAGATCTGTAACCTTCATTTAGGCTCAGAAAAAGACTCTTTTCATTTTGAGCCAAAACCTGTTAGGTGCTGGCCAGCTTTATCGCATCTCTCTTATTTACAGGGACTTTCTTTGCCTCATGCAATCTCAAGAACAGAATAAGCTCTAGTGGTTCTGTTTGTGATCGATATTTTATCACCTGGATTTTGTCCGTTAATATTATATTATCTCATTTACTTATATAATTTTAACTGTACCATAAAATGGGTACCACTCCTTAGAGAGGGTGGGCACACTAAACCCCCGTAGGGGAGGTGTTAGCCGGCGAATGGAATGTCCAGCTCGTAAGCTCGTAAGCCTGGAAAAAAGACCTCTTCGGCATTAAGAAGCCTGTGATGGGCCAATCTGGCCAGGCGGTGGCAGTGCGGCGCTACGACTCAAAAGCAGCCCAGGAAGAACCAATGTCATCAAGCCAAGCTGAAGTGAATACTGTCCGGAACACGTCTGAAGCCTACAGCTGAACAGAATCCCCGTCGGCTGCAAACGTGTGCGATTTAAAGAATTATACGTTGTCCTCCCTTACCCCTATGAACAATTGTTAGTCCCTTGTGTGAAACCTGTGTAACTGTAAATCGCTCAGAGCCAGAAGCTCTGCCGGATCGAGCTATCAATAAATCGAAAGGTATTATTATTATATTATATATCACAGATTCCCATGAAAAAAACTGCTGGCGAAATACATAGGGGATTTTTTTTGGAATTTTAACTGAGTAATAAAATACAGTTTACCTGATTCTGCACCATCGGCCTTGGCCTTATTTTTTACTTCATGTGACTCGTGCAGCCATTTTATTTTCTTCTTGTGTGTAAACCAGGCCTTGAAGGCACAAAAGTTCAGAAACAGTGGGGGCCTTCCGTGCATTCAGAGGTCTCTCCCAGAGGGTCAGAGTATTATAAACTTGTTGATGGGGAGGGGACCAGGGACTGATATTTATGTATACCGATGGTGCTGTATTTTATGTCTTAAGTCAATACGTATAGTTGCTCTACACCAATATTCCAGCGTTCAATGGTGGGGGTGGCCAGTCTAGCCCTGACACAAGACCCACGCCCCAGCTGCTTCTGGCAGCTGCCAGCCGTTTATTTCCAGCTGTCCTGCTTCCATAAGAGCCTGCGGGCACATTCAAGAAATGCAAGGGCCATAAAATAGAAGGGGGAGGGGGCTGCGTGGGTTTCATATGGTCCAAGTGGCACCGGTTGATGAACAGAACTCGGGAGAGACTCTAGAATGTTCTCAAGATGCTCTGCTTCATTTTCAAGCTTCGTTGGACTAATATACCTTTGATTCCACATTCACCCCTTTCACCCTTTGCCCATGTGGTAAAAAAGTTCAAGGCCGCCTCTAGAGCAGTGGTTCTCAACCTTCCTAATGCCGCGGCCCTTTAGTACCATTCCTCATATCAGCAGATTGTTGGTTTCTTAAAGTGGGGAGATCAAGAGGTGTTACAGACATAATTGGATTACATGGCCTTGAACGCAAAAAAGAGTTCAAGGTGCAAAAGAGACACTATGGGATGGAGAAGCAAAAAAACCCCCTGTTGTCTCATTTTGGAAACTTGACAGTCAGCAGTTAATTCGATCCCTCCCCAGTTCCACTGGGAAGACACAGGTCCCTTGTAAGGCTGAGAAAAATGGGGTTGTCCTTACACTAATAAAGCAGATATACTTGCAACCCTAAGCAGAGTTACACCCTTTTGACTTCAGTGGACTTAGAAGGGTGTACCTGTTTAGGATTGCACTGTAATGAGTCCATAAAGCTGAGAAGAACTATCTTAATTTTATAAAATTACACTACTGTTTTGGGTATTCCCCCTATGTAACTATATGGGTATTACCCTGACCTGGATAGACCAGATTAGCCCAATCTTTAGGGCTGCCAACCTCCAGATGGAGCCTGGAGATCTCCCAATATTACAATTGAGCTCCAGACAAAACAGATCAGCTCCCCTGAAGAAAATGGCCACTTTGGATTCTATGGCATTACACCCTGCTATAGCCCCTCCTCTCCCCAGGCTCCACCCCCAAAAGCTCCAGAGCTGGCAACCGTACCGATCTCTATAGATCTTGGAAGCTAAGCAGGGTTGGCCTTGGGTAGTACAAGGACCGAAGCACACCAAGGAAGTGCAGGGTCACTATGCAGAGGCAGGCAATAACAAACCACCTCTGAACGTCTCTTCTCTTGAAAACCCTATGGGATCGCCATAAGATGGGGGAAAAAATATGGCTATTACTCTCTTGTCTGAGGAACTTCTTGCCTGAGGAGGTGAGGTTCCTTGCTGAGCTTCAAGAAGGCCTGTAAACTAGTTAAATGTTTGGACATCTGCTATACATTGCCATGTAGGCTTGCCAAGTCTCCCCGGGGGGCGGGGAAACCCCCGCCCCAGAGGCCCGTTCCTCGCCGCTGGCGGATCGGGCCCCAGGGGGAACCTCACCCCGATGTGCACGTCACCCGAAAGTGATGTGACGACGCGGGGCATGCTGGGGGTGGGGCCACGGTCATCTGAGGGAAAACTCTATGGTTTTCCCTCGGGTGGTCGTGGCCCCGCCCCCAGCGTGCCCGGCGGCGTCACGTCACTTCCGGGTGACGTGCGTGCGGCGCGCACGTGCACTCCAGCCGCCAGCCGGGAGTCCCCCGCTGCGGCTCAAAAAGCACTTGGCAACCCTAATGCTGCCATGGGGGTGGGGAGGTTAGTTGTATTCCAATGGCCAGTGCATTCCTTCTGTGCTTCTTTGCTGCTGTAACGCTTATCTATAAGTTCTGCAGGTGGTGATGTTGATGATCTGGGTTTCTTGGGAACCACGGGAGAGAGTTTGGTTCCCAGCTTCAGCGCTAAACGGCCGGAGCTCTTCCTCCCGCACGCGGGAGTGTGGCTAATTGGCCAGGGCAGTGGGGAGTGCATACGGATACCCTCTTCCGCCGGGCCTTTGAGTAGGAGCCGCCGCCCCACTATTCCGCCATCGTCGTGGTTCCTTCAAGGATGTACCGACGAGGCCCTGAGGAAGAACCTGGACAACGTAAAGAAGATCCAATAAGCCGTCGCCATTGGGCATAAATATCATGGGAGTATCACCTGGAACTGGGTTGATTCTACCCTGGACGTATGAGATTAGTAATTGACTGAGCACCATTGTTTTAAGAGTTGGATGTTTTTATGATGTTTTATATGTTTTTAATTATGGCACGGCTAATTACCCTGCCCTTGTTAGCCGCCCTGATCCCACTGGGGAGGGCGGGATATAAATGTGGAAAATAAATAAATAAATATATCCTATTATGCCCCAGGGGCAGCCGCCATTCTTAACTTACCTAAGGGACCGCCTTTCCTCATATGTTCCCCCGCGAGCACTTCGGACGCAACATCTCCTGGCAATTCCAGGTCCCGAAGAGGCCAGGCTGGCCTCTACCAGGGCCAGGGCTTTCTCGGTGGCGGCTCCTACCTGGTGGAACGAGCTCCCGGAGGAGATCCGGGCCCTGCGGGACCTTGTATAGTTCCGCAGGGCCTGTAAGACGGAGCTCTTCCACCAGGCGTATGAGTAGGAGCCGCCACTACCATAATTATTGTTCCATCTTACCTGGCCCTGGAAGAGGGAACAGTGTTTCCCTGGAGCAGATGATGCTGAGGAACAGAGCAGTGGCAATAGAGCAGTGAAACACGCCATCTTGTGAAATAACATCTAGAGCACTTTGTTAATAACTGCTTATAATGTTATCTGTATTGTGATGATTTTAAATGATTTTAAATATGTTTTATATTGGCATATGCCTCTTGTAAGCCGCCCTGAGCCCGCGTAACGGGGAGGGCAGGGTATAAATTGAATAAAATAAATAAATAAACAGTGCCTATGTTAATGAACCTATAGCTCTTCAATAAAGTATTACCTTTCCTGATAAGCGTGTACTACGTTGTTGGCTGTGGGTTCTGACACCTGCCATAGGTGGGCAAATGGCAAAGCTAGCACTGAAGCAAGCCTCTGGGTAAGCAGCACGAGTCACCAAAACAATATACGCTCCCCGTTGTTGGCTGTGGGTTCTGACACCTGCCATAGGTGGGCAAATGGCAAAGCTAGCACTGAAGCAAGCCTCTGGGTAAGCAGCACGAGTCACCAAAACAATATACGCTCCCCGGAGTCCTAAAATTGCTTCTGTCTTTGTCCTGATGCCCACACATAAGCACATGTGCAAGCCAGCGTTGCCAAGCCCCCAGTACAGGCGGGGATCCGCCACCCTCCACTCCTGTTGCCCTGCTGCCCCCTCCAAGCAGCTGCCGTGTCATGTCACTTCTGGTTAAAAATAAATGGAGCCCTGGTTTGCCCATCCTCTGCCACTGCTTGACACAATGTGCATTCCACCCACAAGAGCACGCTTTGTGGGTTCTGGGCAGAGTGCATTTCCTTTCCCTCTTGGAAATAATCGCGGCTGACTCCTGTAGGCCTCCAAGGAGAGGGCTTTCGGTTCTGAGGGTGTAGTTACAAGACCCCTGACAAGTTCCGGCATTGCCAGCACATTATTGCTCCGCCGTAAGGAGCCTGCCCATCTACCTCCTTCTCCGGCATGACAACTACCAGTGACTACCTGGAGGCGTTTCTGTCACGTTGGCATCTCTCAAGCATGTTGTCCTCACTGTGCCATTCCATTCTCCAAAGCCAACCACCTCCTTGCTCTCCAGGAAGAGAGAGAAGTCCTGTAGCAGACCGGTGAGTTCTTCTGCTGATCTGGCCATCAGGAGAGCGGTGAACACCAAGTCTGGGCCCTGGCAAGCTACAGCAGCATCTGCGGAAAGGGGAAGAGAGAGCACTTGGGATAAGGAGCCACTTTTGGACAAACAAAGAGCACTTCGGTCCCCCCAAGAGCACTTCGGTCTGGGGCACAACATCGCCTGGTGGTTCCAGGCCCCCGGGAAGTAAGGCTCGCCGCGACGAGGACCAGACCCTTTTCAGTGGTGGCCCCTACCTGGTGGAACGAGCTCCCAGAGGAGATCAGGGCCCTGCGGGACCTTACGCAGTTCCGCAGGGCCTGTAAGACGGAGCTCTTCCGCCAGGTTTTCACATAGGGGCCACCACTACCACCGCCACCAATGTGGTGGATAACATCGGGGTTAAGGATGGCCCGGGAAGATTTGCCACAATTTCTGCGTGACCGGATCAATCTTCACTGGATTTACCTGGTTGAGCTACAGGATAACATCATCCTTGGAGAACTCTCTTTTTACCATCTGCAAGTATCCGGAGATCATCTTGTTAAATCGAGTACAATTGTTATTACTCTTTTTATTGCTTTTATCTGTTTTATGTGGGCTTTGCCCCTTGTAAGCCGCCCTGAGCCCGCTCTGCGGGGAGGGCGGGGTATAGATCTCAATAAATAAATAAATAAATAAAACACCAGTCTGAAAAAAGGAGGGTATAAATCTTTGAATAAATAAAATGTATGGAAAAATGCATGTTTTCAACAGTATGTTCTGAACCCTCTCCAAAACTCAGTTTCTCAGTAGGCTAGACAAGACCTCAGAGTTTCTCCACTCTGGCCCTCTAAGTCTTTAGAGTCTTTAGAAAAAGCCCAGCAGGGACTCATTAGCATAATAGGCCACACCCAACAGCAGAAACCCATTAGCATATTAGGCCACACCCCTGACAGCATGGCTCATTAGCACATTAGGCCGCACCCCCATGTTACCATAAGTGTGGTCATCCAGCCACACCCACTTTCCCTTCTTATTCTGTTTACCTTGTTTGTTGTTTTTTGTAGCAGGGACACCCCTAATGTAGCCAATCCTAATGAGTTCCTGCTGTTGGGTGTGGCCTATTATGCTAATGAGTTCCTGCTGGGCGTGGCCAACTCGGGAGCCAGCCGGAACTCCGCTCCTGTGCGTTCCTGCCCAGAAATAGCCCTGCTTTAAGCTATCTCTACCCATTTTTCTCCACCTTTCTCCCAAGGAGCTCAGAGTGGCATGACCCTGCCCATCCCCATTTTAAACCACACTCCACACAACAAACTGAGGTAGGCCAAACGTAGCGAGCGTGATTGGCCTTATAGTCAACCAAGGCTCTTCTACTGTAGAGTGCGGATTTGAACTCAGGCCTCCCTGATCTGAGTGTGCTACGCCATACAGGCTGTCCTCACCAGTAGGTCTACCGCTCCCCTCGCTCTCTTTCACTGTTGCCTGTAGCTGCTTTTGGCACTCAAATGCCAGCCAACATGCTTCCTTCCAAAGCTTGATATGCATTCATCCGGTAGTCAGGATTGGGGCCCAGTAGATTACTGACAACGGTAAGCAGAAACACAGAGACATACAGCTGGAAGGGACCTCTAGTGTCATCTAGTCCAACCCCCTGCACAATTCAGGGAATTCACAACTACCTCCCACCCACCCACCCACCCCCATTCCCCCAGTGGTCCCTGCTCAATGCCCAGAGGAAGGCAAAAAATGTCCAGGATCCAAGGGCCGGTCTGGACTGAAGGAAAACTCCTGTGATGTGCTGACCTGACAGCCAGTATGGTGTTGTGGTTAGAGCATCAGATTAGGGCTGAGGGGAGTCAGGTTCAATCCCCGCTCTGACATGGCTTCAACCAGCCACTCTCTCTCAGTCTAAGATACCTCACTGAGTTGCTGTGAGGATAAAAAGATGGAGGGAACCATATGCACCATCCTCAGCCCCCTGAAGGATGAGTGGGATAAAAAAAAAAATCTAAGAAACATTAAATTGAATTAGCTACCCAATTGCAAAGGAGAGTGCTCACATTTAACTTATGGTCCACCAGCCAGTGTGATGCAGCAACAAAAAAGGCTAATGCGATCTTGGGTGTATCAACAAGAGGCATAACATCCAAATCACAAGATGTCACAGTCCCGCTGCACACTGCATGGGTCAGGCCACACCTGGATATTGTGTGCAGTTCTGGAGGCCTCACTTCAAAAAGGATGTGGACAGAATGGAGCAGGTGCAGTGGAGAGAAACAAGGGTGATCAGGGGCCTGGAGACCAAGCTCTATGAGGAAAGGCTGAGGGACTTGGGAATGTTTAGTCTGGAGAAGAGGAGGTAGAGGGGGGACATGATTGCTCTCTTTAAGTATTTGAAGGGCTGTCACTTAGAGGAGGGCAGGGAGCTGTTCCTGTTGGCAGCAGAGGAGAGGACTCGCAAGAATGGGTTTCAATTAAGGGTGGGAAGGTACTGGCTGGATCTGAGGAAGAACTTTTTTGACAGTAAGAGTTGTGCAACAGTAGAATCATCTGCCTAGGGAGGTGGTGAGCCCTCCCTCACTGACCGTCTTTAAGCAGCTTCTGGACAAACACTTGTCAGGGATGCTCTAGACTGATCCTGCATTGAGAAGGGGGTTGGACTATATGGCCTGTATGGCCCCTTCCAACTCTGTGACTCTATGATTCTATAAGGCTCATTTGTTGCCCACTGGCCATGTGCAACTTCCTGGACCACTGCTTTTCACCAGTTCAACACCCGAGGATGCATTTTGCACATCTCCAGCAATGTTCCCTCTAAGCTGTGGGGTCTTGTGAGCAAAAATTCTACTTTGTGAGCTACTGGCATTAGAGTTGTGAGCGAGCGATTTGGCTGCTGCTTAAATTAGCTTGGTCTGGAGCCCTCCTTCCTCAGCGAGGACAAAAATATGTGAGCTGGAGGCTAAAACGGTGAGCTAGCTCACACTCACTCAGCTTAGAGGGAACACTGATCTCCAGAACAAGGCACACGTTATCTGTTCACACTTCTGCAATGCAAACAAATATCACCAGCGCAGACAGGACAGTGGGAAGCTGCAGACCTGCAAACCACTTCAGGCACCCACACAAAGAAGTAACTGTCTGCAATATCCTCCTACCTACAAGAAATTTGGACAAGAATTTGGCAATGCCTTTCATTCCAGCACTTGCTCCTCTATCATTTCCTTCACATTTTAGGAGAGGGGGGATCAGTCCCAAATGCAGCAGTTGAAGTGTGAAACCAAACAAAGTGCCCACCTTACCTCTGAAATGAGCAGGAGACACTCCACAGCCGCACTGCTTACCCAGGGCCTGGGCCAAAAGCATTACTGTGTTGTGTCGCACTGAGGATTCTTGCTGGCAACCTGATGGAACAAGACATCAAGAGTGAACGGCAATGTGCCCCTTAGGTCTGGCCAACTGGGTCCACCGGTTCTGTTTTTGATTTGCCATACTGGGAATATCCACAGTGGGACCCTGGGCCTTCTTGGTGGCAGCCCCAGTTCTAGCAGATGGCTGCCAGAGTATGTGCGAAAGGCAGGGCTTTTTTTGTAGAAAAAGCCCAGCAGGAACTCATTAGCATAATAGGCCACACCCAACAGCAGACATTCCTTAGCTTATTAGGACACACCCCTGACAGCACAGCTCATTAGCATATTAGGCCACACACCCCATGTTTGCAGAAGTGTGGTCATCCAGCCACACCCACCTTTTGCTTCTTATGCTGTTTACCTTGTTTGTTGTCAAAACCCAGGTCTTTTTTGTAGCAGGAACTCCTTTGCATGTTAGGCCACATGCCCCTAATGAGTCCGAATGAGTTTCTGCTGTTGGGTGTGGTCTATTATGCTAATGAGTCCCTGCTGGGTGTGGCCAACTCGGGAGCCAGCCGGAACTCCGTTCCTGTGCGTTCCGGCCCAAAAATAGCCCTGACGAAAGGCATCTTTGTCACTGGTTTAAGGGCCTGCAAAACTGTCTTTCATAGGCCTCTTCCAGATACACCCATTGGGAATGACAAGCCGTTTTTACTTGGCATTATGGTGTTTGCTAGCTTGTTGTTAGATTACTGTGCTCCCCTTGAATAACAGTAAGCCATCTTTTGAGCCCTGGATAAAGTAGAAGACACATTTTTAAACAAAGGAATGAATAAACAAATGGCTGTATGTCTATTTCTTTAGGACTTTGCAATATTGTTTTGTTTGGCCAAGCAATTGGTTTGTGTGTTTGCGTGGGCTTTCTGTGAATGGTAAGCACAGAAATGCAAAGCTAAGTCTTGTAGTATGATCCTTTGGGGCAATCTATGATTTTTCATCCCAGGTCAGTGTTCCCTCTAAGCTGAGTTAGTGTGAGCTAGCTTACAGTTGTTTAGCCTCCAGCTCACAGGTTTTTGTCTTAGCTCAGGAAGGAGAGCTGCAGAGCAAACTAATTTATGCAGCAGCCAAATCGCTCGCTCACAACTTTCATGCCAGGAGCTCACAAGGTAGAAGTTTTGCTCACAAGACTCCGCAGCTTAGAGGGAACGTTGGTGTGGGGGGGTTATATTTAGTTACAGTTATATTTTGTTATATTTTGTTGACTTTTGTTCCACCTGTAAAACTTAGCAGGCCTCCAAGAGCCACACTACACTGCAGACAAGAACAGCTTTGTATTTAAACAAAAATGTGAACCCAAAGCTGAATTTATACTGAATCAAATTCACTGGTCTATCAAAGTCAATACCGTCTACTCAGGCTGCCAACAGCTCTCCAGAGTTTTAGGCCAAGGTCTTTTGCTTCACCTCCTGCCTGGTCCTTTTAACTAGAGATGCCGAGGATTGAACCTGGGACCTTCTGCATGCCGAGCAGAGGCTCTGCGCGCTGAGCCACAGCCTCTCCAACGCACAGAAAGCTTGTGGGTAAGCAGTCACAGCTCTACCCTGTCCCTCCCCAAGCACTTTGTTCCTGCCTGAAGTAATTTCTGGTATTTCAGGTAGGATGAGGAGAAACGACTGGAGGCATGAAACTGTTAAGCAAGTGAAGGCAAGATTCTGCACACCTCACACACACCCTCTGCTTACAGATAAAAACCAGGTCCTCCACTGCCCCCTTTTCCATTTGTTAGGAGTGGTTCCATGTTGCTTTATGGCACAAAACCAAAGCTGTCAAACCTTGTTTCATCCTAACCCACCTGCCCCCTGAAGACACAAGGAAATTTCTTCACTGAAACGCTTCTTGGGGCAATCGTTGAAGTACCGCGGCGTCGGCTTTCCAAGCGCATAGACAGAGGCATCGCGGGTGGTGGAGCAGCAGACACACCTATTCATAGACGAATTACCCTGCTGGGATCTGATGGAGATTAACGGGGTGGGGGGTGGGGCAGGGAGAACCAAGTCAAAACATAAAACAGGACGAGATTAGAAGTTTTGTCTAACACACTGGCAGAAAGGAACACAGTTAGCCGATTCAAAAGCCACCTCGTCTTTGTCTTTCTGTATCTGTTGGTCTAACACCAGGTCCCTTTCCCCAGGACTGAAATTTCAGGCAGTGATAAGAGTGAGAAATCTTTCATTCATCAAGGTGTGTTCAGGTACTAAATTCACACTCACTTCACTCCATTCCAATGCCAGCGTCAGAAAAACTCTTTAATCTGCAGAGGTTTTCCACATTTGCATTAGCCAGAGAGAGAGAGAGAGGGAGGGAGGGAGGGAGAGAGAGAGAGAAGAAAATCACACAGGGAATTGAAAACCATGTAAGAAATAGATATTTTGAATGTGGAATTCCTATTGAGAAGGCTCTACCAGATGTTAGACAGAGTTGGGGATGTGAATTGGTGCAAACTGGTGTGGTTTCACCAATCAAACTCATACATACTTGCTATGAGCACTCAAGGGGGGGAAAGACAGGCAGACCATTTCCCCCCCTTTAAAAAGTAAAAAAAATGGGGGGGGGGGGGGGGTTTGATCAGTGAAACTACACTAGGTCCCACCCCCGACCTAGCCATCTTGGGCGGTCTTTTTCCCGCTTTGCTGTAGTATATGTGTTTGTATGTTCATTTTAATTCTTTCCCAAACAGCGAGATTTTGATTCTTACCCCCTCCCCCTCCCCACACAGCCTCAGCTTAAACTGAATCCCAAGGTTGATTCTGTTCACAGTTTTTAAAAATAAGGAGGCTCTAATAGGGTTGCGGTGGCTCAAGTGGTTAAGACGCTGAACTGCAGGCTGAGGAAAGGTCAGTAGATCAGCAGGTCGAGACCCGGGTGTGCCGCAAGACAGAGTGAGCTCCCGTCTCTAGTTCCAGCTCCCGCCAACCTAGCAGTTCGAAAGCAAGAAATTGCAAGTAGATAAATAGGGACCACTTAGGTGGGAAGGTAACAGCGTTCCGTGCGCCTTGGTGTTTAGTCATGCCGGCCACATGACCACGGAAACGTCTTCGGACAGCGCTGGCCCTTCGGCTTGGAAACGGAGATGAGCACCGCAACCCTAGAGTCGGATTCGGCTGGCTTTCAAGCAAGGGAACCTTTACCTAATAGGGTTACAAAGCTGAAGGTGAGGCCTGGTGCTTTCCCAGAACTGATCTTCAAACTACAAAGATCAGTTCCCCTGGAGGAAATGGCACCTTCGAAGACTATATGCAGTAGAGTCCAGGTGAAACAGAAGTTCTACAGAAGCATCACACCTAACCCCACCCTCCCCAGGCACCGCCCCCAAATCTCCAGTAAGTTGGTCACACTAGGATTTCGTCTTAGATCTCTCTGCAGCTGTGTGTGTCTGGGTCCACAGAAAAAGATGGGGTGCAGCGCAGAGCCTTCCAGGTGAACGGACAGAATAAAGAAGTTCTTGAGGAAGAAAGGCTGTGAAGGTAATCACCCACACTTTGAACTGGGCCCAGAAACAATCAGAAGTATTCTGTACAGGTGGAAGATTGTGGGTGGTCTTCAGAGGTCTCCAAGAACAGGACTGCAACAGATTTTCACAGCCTCAAGACCACTCGCTAAATACTTCTCCTCAGGGCTCTTTTTGTAGAAAAAGCCCAGCAGGAACTCATTAGCATAATAGGCCACACCCAACAGCAGAAACTCATTAGCATATTAGGCCACGCCCCTGACAGCACAGCTCATTAGCACATTAGGACGCACCCCCATGTTACCAGAAGTGTGGTCATCCAGCCACACCCACCTTTTGCTTCTTATTCTGTTTACCTTGTTTGTTGTCAAAACCCAGGGCCTTTTTTTGTAGCAGGAACTCCTTTGCATGTTAGGCCACACACCCCTAATGTAGCCAGTCCTAATGAATCTCTGCTGTTGGGTGTGGCCTATTATGCTAATGAGTTCCTGCTGGGCGTGGCCAACTTGGGAGCCAGCCGGAACTCCGTTCCGGTGCGTTCCTGCCCAAAAATAGCCCTGCTTCTCCTTTTTACTCAGTAGTGGAGATCACACCCCTGTAAAGTGGGCCAGTATTGCCCCCAGATTCTGAGGGCTGTTGTAAGAACTACTAAGTCGTACATGTGAAGTTGCTTTGCTTGCACAGAAGTGCCATGCAAATATTACGAAAGTCCATATGCTATGCAAATTATCCTCATTTGTGTACATCCCAGTTGCAGCTTCAGAGCAGGCTACTGTATAAACTGAGGACACCCCCCACATTCCCCACACTGCTTCCTCACCGCTCTCTTCCATAGAAGATGGGTTTCCCAGGGCTCAAAATGTCCAGCAGTCTTGAATCCGTGCCTTCCACAGTCGTGTAAACCAAGGCATCCAGAAGGTCTGTGGCTGAGGTGACAGTCCCCGGAGCAAAGCTACTGTTGTTGACCCCTCTGTACAGGGCAATGGCATTCAGTCCTGCTTTGAGGAGGGGGGTGCTGGAGTTTGGCGGAAACGGAACATCAACTGTAGCACAACAAAGAAAGAGGGGGAAAAAGACACAAAATGCAAATATGCTTATAGAGGGGAAAGTACTTGTGTGTCAGCAGAAAAGGACAAGGAAATCAGAAGCAAACAACAGAGAGAAACCAGTTGCAGGATCCATTTCGGCTGAATTTGGACCCACCTGAGGTATCTTTCCCATGATAGAAAGTAGTTCTTTCCAGTGTTCCCTCTAAGCTGAGTTGGTGTGAGCTAGCTCACAGTTTTTTAGCCTCCGGCTCACAGATTTTTGTCTTAGCTCAGGAAGGAGGGCTCCAGAGCAAACTAATTGATGCAGTAGCCAAATCGCTCGCTCACAACTTTAATGCCAGGAGCTCAGAAAGAAGAATTTTTGCTCACAAGACTCCACAGCTTAGAGGGAACATTGGTTATTTCTCATTAGGTGTTTAAAATGTATATGTTCATCAGGGCATGCTCCAAATTTGGAGACAGGACCCCGGGCAAGGTCCCCTAAGTGACTGCCCCCTCGTAGACGTCTGTTAGGGTAGCCAGGTCCCTCCTGGCAACCAGCGGGGGATGGGGGTGGACTTACCAGGAGAAAGAGAAAGGCCCAGTCCACGTTGCCAGCATCATACAGGAAGTGACATAATCATGTCAGTGACTCCCAGGTTATGCTCTGGTATTTGAGCAAAAACTCTATGGTAAACCAGAGTGCCACTCAGAAGTCGCTGGGATGATAGCATCACTTCCTCCACGACGCCAGCAACTTCTTTCTGATGGTAAGTCCTCCTGCTGGCCAGCTGATTGGTGGCTGGGAGCCTCCACCAGGGGGTCTGACAACCCTAATGGCTGTGCACGTGGGCAGAGGAGGGCTTAAAGACGCTGATTGGTGGCTGGGAGCCTCCACCAGAGGGTCTGGCAACCCTAATGGCTGTGCACGTGGACAGAGGAGGGCTTAACGGGGGCTTAAAGGGGGCAGAGGAGGGCTTAAAGAAATGCAAAAAGACTTGGGCCCCTCTCCCTCCTCCAGGCACTGCTCCCTGCAGCAAATAGGAGACTGCCCCTCCTAGAGGAACCTGGGAGATTACGGGGCAGCCTCCCATTCATGATGGGAGAATACGAGCCAAGCATCTCTGAGCAATGGTGCCCAGCCATTCTGGCCCTCAATGTCAGCTCTTCTGTCAAGAATGGGTCACTGTGCTCTTCTTGAACACCTCTGCCTCATAAAAATCCTTGGGGCCGGCTCTTAATTCCCTGCATTCCTAACGCCAGGCATCTGGCGAAGACAGCTCTGGTCCACCACACACACAAAAAGCTATCCGTCTAAAGTGCCCCAAGACATTTGTTTTCATTTTCTTGGTAATGGAGAAAGTATATGAGTAAAAAGTATCCTGTGCACTTTGAGACCACCCATCCTGACTATTCAGCACTTTGTTGAGAATACCTAATGCCTGCATGCAAAGCAAATGAGTAGTCATGGTCAGTGTTCCCTCTAAGCTGAGTTAGTGTGAGCTAGCTCACAGTTTTTTAGCCTCTGGCTCACACATTTTTGTCTTGGCTCAGGAAGGATGACTCCAGAGCAAACTACTTTATGCAATAGCCGAATTGCTCACTCACAACTTTAATGCCAGTAGCTCACAAAGCAGAATTTTTGCTCACAGGACTCCACACTTAGAGGAAACATTGGGTATTTTGGATGAGGCTCCAAATCACCCAGCTAATGTCTCATCCGTGACCTCCGGAGCTCCTGTTTCATCAGCCAGCTGAAAAGAAAGTTAAGGCAAGGTTCTTGCAAAGTCAGTGCAACCTCCCCCCCCACACACACCTTTGTGTTGAGAACACTTTCAGATTTGGTTTTAATCACAGTTTCCAGCTACACACAGGAAGAAGAGGAGATGAAAAAGAAAAGAAGCACTAAGCAAAACTCCCCTGACGCTGGGAGAACTGCATGTACAGTTGAAACACAGAACACAGGTATTTGCTCCGTGCAAGTTTCTCGATCTCATGTTTGTGAAAGTGCGTGGGCCACCGCTCCTGATGAAATCTGAGACACTGCAACTTTGGCCAAGTACCATTTCTAGCACCTGGAATCCAGAAGTTTCAGCATCCTGCTCGTTGAGACTTTTCCCTCTGTCCCTCCCCCTGACTTGCAATTATGTAAACAACGGTTTCTAAATACAGAACTATGTAAACTATGAACATCTGCATACTTTACACAAGCTGCAAATTCAGGAGGAGGAGGATGAAGACGAAGAAGAAGAATTGGATTTATACCCCACCCTTCACTCGGGGTCCCAGAGCGGCTTACAATCACCTTCCTATCCGCTCCTGTGCGCTCCTGCAGGAAATGACCCCTGCTTGAATCTATCTTAATTCTACCATGAAATTGAAGGAACTGGGTGCGTTTATAGTCTGGAAAAACCCTCCCAAATCTTGAAGACTCGACCTTGGTGCAGGACTTTTAGATATTACGTCTGCTTAGATGTTACTTCTGGCTCAGAAGCAGTTTATTTTATTTACTAGGAGGAAGGCCCGTTGTAGAGGGGAGACAACAAGCGCTAGAAGCAAGCCAGGAAGTCAGGCAGGCAGGCAGGCAGGCAGGCAGTCAGGAAGGAAGGAAGGAAGGAAGGAAGGAAGGAAGGAAGGAAGGGGCTGAAAGAGTTCCGAGAAGCTGTGACTGACCCAAGGTCACCCAATTGGCTTCATGTGGAGGAGTGGGGTTCTCCAGGTTACAGTCCGCTGTTCTTAACCACTACATCAAACTGGTGTATCCCACTGTATCTGAAGAAGTGTGCATGCACACGAAAGCTCATACCTTGAATAAAATGTTGTTGGTCTTAAAGGTGCCCACTGGCTTTGTTCTC